TTGTGGCTGTGTCAGATAATCCATATGCTAACTACATCCGCCTACGCAAAGGCTTTGTTCTCATTTTCTCACCACCAATATTGGGGACGTAAACACTGACGTCAATCACTGTTAACCAACTTTGGCTAGCAGCCAGCTCTCACCACAGTATAATGAACAAACTTATTCTTCGCTGGATTCAGAGAGGCGAAATGAAACAGTGGGCTGGTGAAAGCCAGCCTTCGGGAAACCAGCCAGCCAATGTGTCTTTTCTCGATGAAAGCAAAAATTAAGAATGGGGATGTGGAAGGTATCTACAGTGTACGAGGCTAGCTGAGAAGGACGCACAGGTAGCCAACGAAATGCGAAGATTTGGCATAGAAGTGCTGGATATCTGCAAAAGCAGATGGAATGGATGTGGACTGTCAGAATTGTCAACTGGAGAGTCAGTATTCTACTCCGGTCTGGTCACCCAGACGATAACCACGAGCACACTGACGCATGATTTCACCAGTGGCAGCCAAAGCCCTTATGTAGAGGGGGAACCAATCTCTTCCTGCAGGATAATGACATCACGATTCAACTTAAAAACAAGGGCAGCAATGTCACAATTATCCAATGCTAAGCACAATGCTTCAAACAACGCGCAGTGAGAGAAGAAGGAAGAGTTTTCCTGGACAACTGTAAACAGTGACGAACAGTTTCCCAAATGGCGTCATCACATTCATCATGGACGATATGAATATCAGCCAAACTGCAAGTAGATAGTACAGGAAGAGAACTCATCATGGTCGAGAGTCTCTCGCTCAGCGAAATGAATGAGAACGGAGAATTATTCTCAGTCTTCTGTGCTTTCAATGATTTGATGATCGAATGCAACGTGTACAAGCACAAGGATATACACAAAGCAACATGGATTTCGCATGACGTCAAAATACAAACCAGATAGATTTCATCTCAATGCTGCTCAAGCAAGTTGAGACACAGACAGCTGGACACAAAGTCGGGAAGGGGAGCAGATGTGGGCTCAGACCGTCGTCTAGTTCAAGGAACATTCAAGGTGAATTGGAAATCCATGAAAACAACTGGAGACAGACCACAATTCAAGTTCAACATTCAGAAACTGAGCTGAAGTACAAACCTACAAGGGATATCTTCACTACAGATCAGATCAGAACAAAGTCGGAGACGTTACGCAGAACAGACAGACCACAGGTAAGGGAGACCTCAAAACATTATATCAGATAACCAGGTCTCTATCCGGGAGGAGATCAACCCAGACGATGAAACCAATAAAAGGTGTTCGAGGGAACCTACTTACCAAGGAGGAGAAACAAATAAAACAAAGGACTCTGGAATCGACCATCACCTGCAACTCGACCAGAAATACCACCAGCGTCACCCACAAAACTGTGTGCCAGTGGACACCAATCCTCCAACAAAAGCAGAAATCTCGAATGCAATCAAGCTACTGAAGGCAAGCCAGAAAGGCAGCAGAGCCAGACGTAATTCCCCCCAAAGCACTGAAAATGGACCCAGAGACTGCAGCAGATATGCTCACACCATTATTGCAACACGTTTGGAGAGATGGAAAGGTACTTACCGATTGGAAGAAAGGCTGGCTACCTTGTCCAGCTGCCACAGAAGGGCGACTTACGCTTGCCTCTGCAGGAACTAGCGTGGAATAATGCTCTTGTCCACGCCAAGTAAAATACGAAGTCGTGTCATCCTGGAGAGAATAAAAGATACACTGGATACAGAACTCCGCCACCCACCGGAACAAGCTGGCTGGATTCAGGAAAGGCAAATCATGTGCTGATCAAACTTCAACTCTACGCATCATCATCAGAGAACAAGGCATATATTATGTATATATTATTGTTTCCTTTAATTCTTAGAGGAACATAGGGCTTCAGCCGTGCTTCTCCATTGCGTTCGGTTCTCTGCTAGAGTCTTCACCTGGCTCCAAGTCTGCCCACATGTTTTCATCTCCTCTTCACAAGGAATAAAACAATCAGAACAACACCAGCACAGGAAAATAATTCACAACAAGAAGGGTAACAAGCGACAACAACAATAATAATATCGCAGTCAAGTACAGTTAACCAAAATGATACCAAAATCATAGACTCACTGACTTGAGCCAACTTGAACATGTAAATTCATCAATATTTACAATTTTAGATATTAGTTAATGTTAAACAAGCACAGAGGGGCAAATATATAGTTATAGGTATTATCCAGCAAGGCATTTAATGCCAGTCAAACCACTGCTTTAACTTCATCGACTTCGAAAGGACCTTCGACAGACAGCTTTGACCGAGAAGTAATTTGGAATCTACTTCAACACTACGGCGTGCAGTACCCAAGTCTTTATCAACCTCATTCAACAGCTGGCTATATGACAATGCTACGTGTCAGGCGGTCCACAACAGGAAAATCAGGGAGGCGTTCGAAGTGAATAAATGGGTAAGACAAGGCTGGCTGCCTTTTATCAGCGATGATATTCTTAATTGTGGTGGACTGGATCATGCGTCCAACTTTACGTGGGAGTGAGAAGACGGGAATACGTTGGGCTACCGGTAAGAAGACTCTAGAACATCTGGATTTCGCAGATGATATATGTCTAATGTCACTCAAACTCGAAGACTTGCAGGCGGGCGAAAACCAAAACACTAGCTGAAGATGCTGACAGTGAAGACAGGACTGCAGGCGAACATAGAGAAGATGGAAGTGATGAAGATAACCAACGAACAGCGACAACAACAACAACAGCAACAACCACAACCGATCACCATCAACAGGAGAGATTTAACAGAGGTCACTGCCTTCAGCTGTCTAGGAAGCACCCTTTGAAATACAGGTGGGTTGGGTGAAGATGTGAAAGCCAGCCAGCCAGCCAGCCAGCCGGAATCGGAAATGCAAGACACGCCTTCATCAACCTGAAACCAGTTTGGAAATCTTCTACACTCAGCATAAGCAACAAGATCTTGATTTTCAACACAAATGTGAAAACAGTCAGTCAGTGCTTCTATACGGATGAGAAACTTGCACTGCGCGTCATGAAAAGCATTTCCAGCAAGTTACAGACCGTTGTTAACAGATGCCTGCTCTGACTCCATTTCGAAGATCAGATGCCCAGTCGGAAAGAATCAATATCAGGAAAGAAACTCCGGCTGGAAACAAACCAACAGGCAAGAGCCAATCACTCAACAAATATGTAGGAGAAATTGGAGATGGATCGGGCATACATTGAGGAGACCGTCGAATGAAATCACATGCTTGGACATCGCTAGACTGAAATCCAAATAGGATGTGACGAGTGGGTCGTCAGTGCGAGGTTGACATGGAGGAGGTGGTGTGGCGAGGAGGAGATGAGAGATTATGGTCAATCGTGGAGCTAGCCAGATGAAGAGGACAGCAGAAAATAGGAGAAAGTGGAGATGTGTTACTGAAGCCCCATGTTCCACTCGGAACCCAAAGGAGTAATAATAATAATTAGATGGTTGGAGGCAATCGGCAGGAAGCCTTCAATCTAGGTTCTGTGATAGTTGGTACTGGTCAGCAATTCACATCTGTAAACTTGCAGAATTTCGTGTCTCTTCTGAGATGCGTTTCCTCATCACCCAGTACCGAAGTCAGAGACATTACAACTGAGCTATTCTGACTCGCGATTGACCTCCTGTAGGACTGCATTGGATACTTTGACTGGATACTAGTCAGTAACTAGTGTAATATGCATAGTACTTTGTTTGGTGCAGAGTGAATTTTAATTTTCCTTCATTTACGGGTGAATCTTCCTGCCATGACACTGGATCAGATTAATTCCCACTGCATGAGAGCCTTCGATATTGATGATGTCACTGACGTATGTGATCTGATTGCTGTCGGTTCACACATGTCACTTCAAGAAGCTGAGGCAGTCATATATTAAATCTTGTGAGTATAATCCTAATGGTTCACTAACAAGCGTCTGCATGGTTTCCAAATGACATTCACTGAATATTACACCCTCAGGAATAATACGAATATCACACTAATTGCAGGAATCATCTGAAAGACAGATGATCTTATTCTACCTATCTACATGTTGTGGCGCAAAGATGTTGTGTTGCAAATGGAGGCATTTGTTTCGGAGGCGAAAAACATCAAGTGAAGAATAGGAAGAAGAAGAGGATTTCTGATGACATGGAGAGTTGCAGGAAACATGACCAGATAAAGCAAAACAGTCTAGAAATGCTCAGGCGTTGGATACACGATGTCCATTACTATCAATTATTGATGTTATAAAATGAATGGGAAACAGAACAACGTTGATTTAACCGAGGTTCAGTTACTTCACGCCAACTATTTAACAAAGCATGCGAAAAATGGATTCCATGAAATCCCACCTAGTATATAGTGACTTGGTTATTTCTGTGCATTACACAACTGCATTTGCATGATGAATATTCGGTTGACACTATCATGCATGAAGATACTTGGATGACAGAGACAAAAGACAGTACTGAAAGACAACTTGTGTACAAGAAATGAGTGAAATAAGGACTGGTGATGGTAAGATTTGTAGTTTGAGATGAAGGCAGAAGGTGTGCCAGTTTTTCAAATAATGTGACCACGTTTGAGCACAATGGTTCAATGTCTAAAACACTTTCCATGTGACTGCACTAGTTGTATCCCATTCACAGACGAAAAGTACTCAATTCGGAAAGTACTTTAATTACTTTAATTTGAAATTTCGAGGAAGGTCACACAACTTACCAAATTACAGACATGTACTATTTCGATGTCATTCGCTTTTTGCATGAGATGAATCGCATTCTCATTGATCGAGGCCACATAGTTTTGTGTATATAAAGGAGTGCATGAAATGATGGGATTCATACAGCAATACTTCTGTATTGCGTTCACACTCTCACCAGAAGAATCGCAAAATGGCTCAGAGTTTCAGGAATATTCTGTTGTTCCTCTGCATCATCAGTTTGTCTGTAGTGGTGCAGAGTGAATATGTTTGTCAGATTATGCCGAATATAACTATGGTAAGTGCAGAAAGAGAGAGTATTGAATTTCTAACTGACATTCTCTTCAGAACTTCGGTGTTTTGGGCGAACCAGTCGACAAGCGTCAATATGGTGGCAACAGACTGAAATTTATTGTGCATTATGATCAGACCATGCAAAGACATCCGTTATTTGGTCGATTCAAGGTAAGACCGATCAATCAAGTGAATTTGTACATATCTGTATTTGTCCCTGCATTTGTGGTTGTATCTTTCAAAAGAATGATAGATAGATACATTGTAATAAATATGATAACTTTAATCAACATTTCAGATTTACGCCCTTCCTGGTAGATAATTTATGTCATATTATTATTACTTCTATTACTATTTCCCTGGTTAAATATTAAATGCTTTCAATTTCATTGATAAGGTTGAAGTTGTTGAGAAAGCCCTTGATTTCTGGGAGAAAACGCTGAGTGTAAGAAGACCACCAAACAGGAAACTTCTAATTGAAAGGTAGGTGAATCTTCAGTGTGTCGTTAGTCGGCTTCATTTTCTATGCTTATCTTCATGGCCATCATAAATAAAGTAAGAAACCATTCACTCTCTTTCATAGATGTGTTTCATAGAACCATTTATGTACTAATTTCGATATCTTCCAGTATGTGTATAAGTTTGTATTTGTGTATCTTCCTTTGACAGAGGATGCGTTGAACCATATTTCTTCACAGATGGACGCACAGGAAAGAAGTTCTGCAAACAACAATGCAAACCTCACGCTAAATGCTATGATCATAGAGTCCCAGATAATTACGCTTCCGTAAGTTTCATCTACTCATCTCACTGATTCAAATCATTAAGAATGTCCTCAAAATAGGTAAATAGGTAAATGCTACACTGCAGGTGTAAGTAGACTCTCGCAGATAATTTCCTGAGAACTATCGAGGTGGAGACTTCATCATGTGTCTAATTCGTGCACTGGAACAGTGTGAAAAGTAAGACGACATTCAGTTAATCTGAGTGAGACTCGAAAAATCTGAAATAAGCAAAGACATGTGCTGTGAAGTATAACTGTGTTATCAAAGTCTGTGAGAGTAGAGAGAACTTTCCACAACACTCTGTGAATATGCATTTATCCACCCTATACTACGAACTCAATTGACACCAGGTTGTAAATTTATGAAGCAACTATAAAACCATTGTCCATTCAAATATCACATAAGCTTACTACAATCAGCGACGTTCGAGTTCACCAGCATACCTAGTGCTTGACACAAATGCTGTACTTATTCATTGTGACTCGACAGAAAACATGAGAAATTCAACAGTTTCCAGAGAACACTTTCACGAACAAATAATGTTTCTGGTCTATGAAATGTTTCACTACATTTATGAGCTCATTCTCTCAATGCACATAAATCACTCAATATATCTAAACGTATTTCTTCATTCATTCATTATTACTATTATTATTATCATTACTAACCACAGGGATGTGCTGTGGGAGGTGGTGGTCAAAATATACGAAACGTTTACCAAGACGGACCAGGATTCGCACCAAATGAATTCGTCATGTTCGTCGAGGCTGCAAATAAAGGAGCTTGTACTAGTGGGTCAACATTGGCATACGCCGGTCCATGTGAAATGCATCCAACAACTGATAGGTAGATTATGTGTACATTATTGAATGCAAAATTGATGTAAATTTGTTGTAAATGAGTTAGTCAAACATCTTCTTGAGTTCGCTTTCTCTAACCAGATGAAAGTCTGTAGTGAAATGTTATAGTTCTAACGCATGGACATAAATATTATGATTTGTATCGACTTGAAAATGAGGAAGTGGCCACTTTTAGCAAAAAGTGCTCTGAAATCTTAGCAATGCTAAATGTACATTACACATATTTACTCAACCTTTGTATAGTTTCCGATATCAGAAATTGTAGATTGAGTATACAACTCATCGACTTCTACTCTTCTCATTCTAACTGTTGAAATGACGTTGAGATGTGCCTCAATGTGTGGTTCATTTGCGTTGCTGTGGTGTAGATTCATTTGAGATTAATTACTAATATTTATATTGACGAGAATAATGACAACTTCATGATGAATCTTCAGGTAATGTAATCACCAATAATGCATCACTGAAAACAACATCATTCCATCCATTCCAAGCTCCACTAACCCACGAACGTTCTCTCCAATTTCCTGCAAACACTTCGTAGCACTAGTCTGAAATCTTCTTAAAAATATGTGTGTGATGGTTAAAACATAAGCAGTGTAGTATATCGGATGCATTTTCATGGATGGAATAAATTTGGTAGCCCAGAGATTTAAGCAGTCCGCCGACATCGAGAAATTCCTGGAAGCTTTCTCTTTTCTAGAGAGTTTGAAGACTTCCCTTGTGTGAAATATTCATGCAAATCACACAAATATGAGGTCTGCATATGACAGTTCAACTCAAATTGGACACTCCTTTTTCGCTATAATAAACTCTCCGAGATTTATTTTTTCCGCACTGATATTGTAGACCAATTATGGGAGCAATCAACTTCTGTCCAGCAAAAATGGAAATTCAGGAACCTGGTAAAACGATGTTGGTTGGAACAGCTATTCACGAAATGGGACATGCTTTGGTATGTTACTGTGTATCCATCTCTTCAATGTTATGCCTAGTTGAAACTATTTCTTACTCAAAGTACATTTTAAAGACCCACACTCAAAGCAATAGCCTGTGATTTTAGGAAACGTCGGTTTGCCTGCTTCCAAATTTAGTACACTAATCAACACTTTATTTTCGACTGGCGTCTCATAAACGACTGTCTTTATTCTGCATTCATTACGCATCACACAACAACCACACGCATCTCTCCATGCATCAGAACACTTGAAAGTCTCGATCATCAATCTTTGACAATCACATTCTTCATTTAACGTCTACACTCTTCACCGAATTTCACAAATCACTTGAAAGTACTTCTCGGTGAAGTCGAGAGAAGGCACACCATCGCGCTGACTCAGCCATACAATTTGTGAAAAGCCAAATTCACTCAGCATGTAAAGACGGGTGTTACGTGAGTGAGTGTTTGTGTTTTTCTGTGTTTTGATGATTGTGTGTGTTTGTTTGTTTGTGTGTGTGTGTGTGTGCGTGTTGACCACATTACACGAATCACTAACACGAATCTTTCTCAAAAATCTACAGGGATTTGTGAAAACGAGTTTCGCTTTAATGCGTGATGAGAATGGCAATCCAAGAACACCCAGAGAGCCTAAAACTGGCAAACCACGAATGAATCAATTCAGACAGTATGAACCAAGGTGAGAAACATTCATTTCACACTTTTGGTTGGTAAATGAACACCAAAATCAATGCTCATCATTCGGCGAAATGTATCCAGTAGTAACGTGGTTGATTTCAGGATTTAACTACTGCCAGTCACCACATCTATGAGATAATCCTTGATTTACAAGGGAAACAGTGTTTCAGTTGAGTAAATTTACTGAAACCTCTGAAAGTTGGACGATGTACCATTGTTAATCGAAAGGGTATTATTCCAGTGTTCATTAAAACAACTTCATACTTAAATTCGCATTGGCATTGTGTGTGTATAGGGTTGGGGGCGGTTATTCGCATCTATTCTTCTTCTTATACACCCTTGAGATCTATCTTTCTCATGTACTATCCACAAAGACCGACTGATGAGAGGAGATTTCACGATCAGTTTATAATTCAGAAAAAAAACGTAGAGAAATTTCAACCTCAGCATGTTAACACAAATTCCCGGGAGTAATGATTGCAAACGTTGTCACAAATCACTCTGTGCAGAGTGCAGTTCTGTCTACTTCGCGTTGGTATATTTTCCTGAAAATGTTTTCACTGATAATTCAAGTTTATACAAGCATATCAAACCAGACACGATATGATTTATATATATGCTGCTTATTATTCTGTTGGACAGGGAAATATCTGAAGTGATGTTAATGATATTTGAGAAAATATTGTCAGTGTCACAATAAATGTTGATGGTCAGTAACACACAACAAAATTCGCCGATTGGTTTCCATGTCTTTTATTGTATCATCGCCTTTGTGATAAATTACCCACCAGTTGATATATAATGTGGAAGGCTTATGTGGTCAATATGCTCCACGAGGGATTACATTGTTTATGCATGCGATTCTTATATCCTTACTCATCTCAATAAAACAAACTCTTTCAACATTACTATTTGCTTTCTCTTCTAGTGAAAACACTGTCAGACGAATCAACCGCCCATGGGTTTCAGCTGTCGGATCATTCCACAAACCATTCTTATCTTTCGTCACACCACGTCTATTGGTAAGTACTTTTAGTGAGACATCATCGCGTTGTGTTCTGGAGCATGTTCTTGTCACCACAACAAGAGGACCTCTAGAGGCTTCTTTTCCAAGTACGATTCAACAGCCATATGTGCTTAGATATACTGGTTTCTTAGATTTCAATGAATTCTGATTGTAAATCTAGAGAAAATTACTTGATGTAGGGAAGGTTGGACTGTGAATTTTCACTGAGCATTTCCTCCTTCAAACTGATGTTGCCATCAGTACCGATGGAAGCTAGTATGAGAGTGAGGCGCGATCACATTGAGTTGTATTTTCAGTTGGAATGGCAGTTATCTGACTTGACAGATGTCATGAAGTATATATTCGAGTGTGACATGAACAGTGGAGGGAATGATTTGAAGACGCTTTTCGTTGTATGATATCCTCCATTGTGTAATACATTGGATGTATCTGTCGTGCTTTCAGGAGGAGGGACGTCGACACTACAACTGTCCAAATCTCGATGGAATTGATATAGAGAATGAAGGTGGTGAAGGAACAATCGGTACACATTTTGAAAAGCGGGTTGTCGGTGTAAGTCAATACCTGAATATTATTGATCATTCTGAAGATGTTTTTATATTTACAGAAGGATGTATATCGTATTTTGATGACCACAGTTGGTTTATTATTTCAGAAGCATTCCATTAAATCCACGTTTCGCATCGTCATTCGCCATAGAGTAAAGGGATTTTCTTCCATTCAAGTGGTACGAATGCAGCAATGAACCGTGTGTAAGGGCGATTCTACTTCACTTTGATGTGGATTGCAGTCGTTCTCGGCTTACCTTTCCAGTTAAACAGAGACAATGATTGAGGTGTAAAGAAAGATTTTTATGTGGGAGCAGTTCTTGCAGTCTGACCGCCTCTAGAGTACTTTGGGTACACAAAAGTGCTGCTCAGACACTTTATACCACACAGGCAATATACACAATAGAACAGCGTAAATATTCAGTCGTATCAAGATCGGAAGAAGCAGCTTCACACATTAAATTCGAACGTTCTATGCATCATCATTATTGCAGCTTACATCTTTACTCATAATCAGACAGCTTAGACCATTCTACTCGAAGCATTCTCCATATTTATTGTTCAGTTAATTAATGGGAGTTATCAAGCTGTTAGTATTTGACGTTGTCTGTTTGGGTTATACGCTGTAGTAATTGACCAAGACGGTTAGAAAACACCACGTCGGTTTACGAGTACACTAAGTTAACTGAATACGACAATCAGCTGAGTGTATTATCAAGATGTAGGAATTAGAACAGTTAGGATTTTTAAATGAAACTTCAAATGAATTCTAACAACTGCACAACCTGATTTTTCTTTCAGGATGAAATCATGGCAGGTGTCACAGGAGTGAAAGCAGTCACTTCACGACTGACATTAGCTTTCTACCAAGATTCTGGGTAAGTCAATCAAGCAATCAAGCAATCAAGCAAATATTCCTCCCTGCACATCATGTCTTCATAAGTACGGATTACAAATGCATTACTCATCATATTATTATTATTTCTCAAGTAAATTTCCCAGTGAAATCAATTTCACTCAGGTATTATCTTTAACAATGTGTTCGATAATCATTCAACAAATTCCGCACAGCCATTGTCTCACTAATCTTGTGTCTATCAGAGATTGTGTTACCTGAGCTATAGCAGATGGAGTGGCAAAGTAGATATCGTTTTGCAGCTAACACCTTTTATAATCGCATACTGCTTAAGTGATGTCAGACAAGGCAATACACTAGTTACTCGGTTTATTTTGCACACTCGATTTCACGTACTGAATGCTTTCGGCTTTGTTTCTATTTGTTCCAATAACAGTTGGTGGGACGTCGACTACTCACTCTCGGAGAGATGGGACTACGGAAAAGGCCTTGGCTGTAGCTTCGTCATGGAAAGCTGTTATGCGTATATGAACAGAATGAAGCAACAGTAAGATCTCCAATTTTTGTGATGAATGTTGTGAATGTTGGATGTGTGAATATTATACTGATTGTGTGTGATTGTGTGAATCACACCTGTTGACAATAAATAGATAAGCTCATGTATTTCATTGAAAAAGCGAATTCCAATTGATTCTGATATTTGTGATATTGTAGGGGAAGAAGTATTGAACCGTACTGTGAAGAACCGAGCGCTTTGATGTGTTATCACAAGAAAGCCTTCGGCATATGTGCAGTTTCCAAGTTCACCAGACAACTGCCTGCACCCGAACAATATTTCAGAGGTATTCCTAACCAAGGAGGCAGCACTACACTTTCGGACCATTGTCCTATGATTCAGGTGAGCTTCCGTTTTAAATGCATTTATCCCTTCTTATGTGTGTCAGAATATGAAACAAAGCAGTTGGTGTTGGTAATCGGCATCCATTTCCATCAAAATGCTATCCGACTTTATCTGACAGTCCAGATTTGAAAACTAGGTAGAATTTTGTTCCCTCGTAAGCAGATGAGCTCATCAATATAGACCATGATAAATCTGGTTAACGTGGCACTATGAATAGTAAGTAGACTATAAATAATGATTTGGGAAATGTAATATTTCAGACGAAATACCATATGGTATTTTAGGGGAATTCAATGGTGTCTTGATTGCAACACCTTACGATACAGCGTCTCCAGAAGTTGAGGAGAAAAGCCACACAATGTAGACTACTGACTGATATGAACAGTCGGAAAGCGGTTCCATCAGCTATAACGGATCACTGGCCAAACCGATATTGTATAACCGGCAAACAAACGTCTCGTGCGCTTTAACATGATTCTGCGCATTTTGTTTATAAATTGAAGTAAATACCGTTTATCATTTTTCATTTCTCCACTCGCCAAATATACACGAAGCCGATGAAAACATTCTTCCATGAACAATTGATGACATATTGCGATCATCATTTGAATAGACAACATTGTAAGTCTCCTATCCTTTTGACTATTCACATCTTTACCTATACTCTAAGTATTCGAAATCCCACTGTCGAAGATTATCGTTGGAGGTTTTGACTTCCGGAAATGCATCTAGTGAATCAGAATTAAAAATCGTGTAGTGCTGTGTGGATGTAGTGTTGCACATTTTCACGCACACATTTTCAGCGTATTTATCAAAATTACAGTGAAAATGAATTACCTATAGAATGTCGGGATGCTTGATTCCTATCCTGAACGAAACTGCCAATTTCATCAAATTCAACCTTTGAGGAAAATCTTGATAGGAATACGTGTTCACCAAGAAGATATCTTCTGGTGTACGATATATGACACAAAGAAGATTATGGAATTCGAGAAATTGAAGGATCTAGGAATTCGTCCATTTACACTGATTGTTTTACAAGCGAGATTGACACTGATGAATTAATTAAAGCTAATGCATAGTGTACATCCTATTGTATACAGTGGACCGTGGAGCAGAACCCACCTCCACGAAATTTCCCTCGTATCATATCCATAATCCTCTCACCCTTCCATTCGGAAGTGAACCAAATAACGAAAATCAGTTTCTTCATTTTCTAACTTTCCTTTTCTCGCTCATTGAAATTCACTTTTCTCGAAGTGCAAAGAGGAAACATGTTCGGTCAAGACTTTGGCAATAATTCAATATGCGTTAAGCACAGAGGACCTTGGGAGGCCAGGATGAATGGAAGAGTAACGAGAGATGGTCGGATTAAGGCGACTTGCCATCAGGTATGTTTTCGTAGTAAAATATAAATGCAATTAAATGCGACATCACTTGACATCAGGATCGTGTACGTCAGTTGTCATCATTATCAGCATGCAGGCAAGACGTTGATGAATGTGCATCGACAGCTAACATCTTCTGCATATCACGCAGTGAATGAAGCTAACCTCCCACTATACTCACTCAAGCAACACCTTAAATTAACAAGAAAGCAGGGAACCGGGTACATTCCGAATAATTATTGAACATTATTAGAGACATCGTTGGGCATACGTGAGCAAAGTGAATGATGTTTTGATTGAAGTCAAATTGGAATCAGCTACTTAGCACATGTTTAGGCGGACAGCATAAACCAGTATCTCACACGTTCCTGTGAGACGAGATGTATTTTCATACTGACTAATGCCATCCTTCCAATCAGAAGATCATGCACAACTTCAAAACGTGTAAATGACGCGTAGACTATTCACTCATGGATACAGCGCTATTTGTTTCGTATCTTGATTTGTCTACCAACTAAATGTATACTTAGCCATCAGAATTGAATCTCTGCATTACCCGAAAGGCTTACCAAAATTTATTATTGAGACTAGATGAAATGTTTAACGCGAAACGATGCATGCGTCAGAGTAATAAATCGACGGGTCGTAGGAGGATAATGGAGGCTAATATTCGGATAAATCTGCAATAAACAGTCACATCAAAGGGGATCACAATTGTCGATTAGTGCAAAAGAATTCACATGGATGAATTCACATTCACAGCTCAGGGTGACGAAGTAATCAGCACCAATACAAGTGAACAGATGGCTTAGTGATTCTGTGGAGACAATCGATCACTCAATTGTTGAAAATGTTTAGACGACATGAGACTCACCTGTTCTAACGATTATATAGGATAATTAATTAGATTTACTCAGTGTGTGATAGGTGGGAAATTAACACAACTTTCATTTTCCTTCGAAACTTGCAGTTCTCATGTTCTGGAGGCCTGAAAATAATTGTTGGTGGTCAACCATTCCCTTGTCAGTCGGGTGTAGCAAGAATACAAACCAACCAGGTTACTGGAGAGGCTGTCTGCCCAAATCCGAATGAAGTTTGTGGAGTAAGAACAATTTGTGTGAAAAATATTTCTATATTATTATTCTTATCATGATCATCACTTGCATCTTCGTTGAATAATACACCATGAAAACACTTCAGGCTTCATGAAAATAACCACTCATTCACCAGCAACAACCGAAACTTGTTAGGCTCAACAGATACTCATCTGCAGATTGGCCTATGCGAGTGTTGGCTAGAATAAACTGTTGCACTGAAACAGTCAAGAGATGATGATTCACCATTCTGAAGACGAGAACAGAAATTTCCATCTCATCAGTTAGAGATAATGACGTTTCATTTGCAGGTAATCAATCTTCCATCTTCCTTAACTCATCTCACCTTCCCGACAGTGGGTAGTGTTTCAATAGTCTAAGTGTGTCTCTGATATGATTTATGCTGCTTCGACAGAAGATGGTCGACTGCACCTCTGACCAGTTGCTGATGCTACTGAAACCACTTGAAATATTAATTTGGAGAATGAATGATGGTGACAAGACCAAAACATTCCTTCTCAAATCATGAACAAAGTGATATCTGAACGAAATTTCGGTGTTGATCAGTTTATGCAGTTGTACAGAGGGTCTACACAGAAGACGAATCTCATAGATGTCTTCAGTTCTGTTATGGAATGAAAGTTCCCGCACTTCAGGCCTGATCGTCATGTCAGGCAGTGAGTGATTCAAAGTACATCGCTGAATTATAATAACTGCTCATTTGTAAAACTAGTTATCTGGTGAACTGTGATGATGATTTAACATTGAGTTATTCACATATATCTTGCTAGGTAATCAGAATGTCTAATCCTTATTTTTCTCATTCACAGCGTGGCAAGAAATGAAAACTGGCGGGCACTACAGAGTTGGCCATTGCTTTCTCAAGTAATCCAGTCAACTATTCAACTTGAGGTCGTTATTACACTGCCTAATTTGAACTACTGAATGTATTCACTGTTTTTCTTAACTTATGCGCGTCTAATAAATATTCAATGTAATCAACTTTCTTTTGATTTGCATTTCTATGTTGAACTGGAGTAATACGGAGGTTTGTATTCCACTGAGAAAGGAGTAGAGATGGGAGTAGGTTAATGCTGTATAAGAACGAGGAGTGATAGTTTGTAGTAGTCTTTTAAGTGGTGTTCTGTGATATCCTCGAAACACACTGGTGAAACTGTGAATTTCGTGAACATTCACAGAAGATTTTTCATACGAATAGGATGTAGATTCTTTATAATAAAGGTTTTTGTATTTCCCAGTGAATGAAAAACAAAACGGTATTGTTTTGACTGACGTTTCGCTATTTAATGCTGCTAATTGCTTTATCAACGTATTATTAAACCAGAATTTACAAAATCTCAGCTTATATATAACAACTTAATCATCCATCGTTCCACAGCATAGGGTCAATTTTGTGTTGTCAAGTTGACCGATTGGTAAAGATAACAATGGCCTGCCATGTGATGTCACTTGATGGTATTCTCAGAGTATGGCCAATCCATCTCCATTTCTTCCTGCAGATTTGTTGCACAACTGGTTCCTGCTGAGTTGGTTCGCTCATTGCCAGGGATCCCTGTTGCTGATCGTTTCCGGCCGGCCATCTGATCTTGAGTGGTATTGAGCGAAGACAGCTGTTGATGAAGTTCGGTAGTTTGTTCGAAGTGCCCTTCGTGACGCGCCAAGTCTCTGATCCGTTTAGTAGCACTGACTTCACATTGGAGTTGAAAATCTGGATCTAATTTTTCATGCTGAATGCTGTTGATCTCCACACGGATTTGAGAGAAATGAAAGCTTGCCTTGCTTTCTCGATCCTCACTTTGATATCCTCATCATTTCCGTCCTCCTGTAGTTGAAACGATGCTTTCCAGGTAGGTGAGTAGGTAAAGGAGCTTGCTTCGCCCAAATTTCTCCCACTTATGCTGATTTTTGTGTATTGTTGTTGCTATTGCTGTTGGCCAAGAATCTTCATCACCACATCTGTTTTCTCCATGTTCACCTGAAGTCCTATCTTCTCTGGATGCTTCTTCTATCGCCAACTCGTTGCTTTTCACTTGCATATCTTCCAGATTGTGGGAAATCAGACATGTATCATCGGCGAAGTTCAAATCCTCCAAGCTTTCTGTGTGGGTCCATTTTATGTCTGTCTCGTCGTTGCCCGGCCTGCTCTCTGTCGCGTTATCCAGTCTAACGTAATCAGGAAAATCATTGGAGATAGTAGGCAGCCAGCCAGCCAGCTAATCTTACTCCCGTCTTCACTTCGAAGGATTCCGTGAGTTTCCCGTTGTGGATCACTTGGCATGCAGCATTATCGTACAACTGTTGAATGAGATGTATAATTGTTGGTGGCACCCCTTCGTAGTAGCGAAGTAGTTTCCAAATCACCTTTCCACCTCAACTCCATCGAGGTAGAGAGCTGACTGCCATTCCAAGCTCTGTTCAATCATCATCTGTAGTGTTGCGATTTGATAGATGCATGACTTGTTTCTCCTGAATCCAGCCTGTTCCGGTCGAAGTTTTTCATCCAGGGCTAGTTTCATTCTCTCCAGAATGACGCGGCTTAGTATTTTGCTTGAGATGGACAGGTGTATAATGTCGCGCCAGTTCTTGCATTGACTTAAGTCTCCTTTCTTTGGCAGTTTGAATAGGTAGCCTTTCTTCCAATCCGCAGGCACCTTACCCTCTTTCCACACCTTCTCCAGTAGTGGTGTCATCAAGTCCGCTGATGTCTCTGGGTCCATTTTCAATGCTTCTGCTGGGCTTCCATGTGGTCCTGGTGCTTTTCCAGTTTCAGCATCTTTATGGCCTTCGGGATTTCTGTTTTCGGTGGTGGTGGGGGGAGGTTGATGTCCACTGGTAGTTCTGCTTCCATTGTTGGTATTATTGGGCGCGTTGTGGGTGGCGGTCGATTTAGAAGTCTTTTGAAGTGTTCAGCCCAGTGTTTCCTTTGCTGACGTTCCCATGTGTTCCCACAGAGACTTTTCCCTTTATCGCAAGGAGACTCATCGTACTGAACTTTCTGTAGCAGTTTTGTTTACAGAGAGGGATTGCTACCCTCACGACTGAGAGGGGGTTTGTTACATAAATATATAGGACACAGAGGAGCGACTTTTCGGTTTGCTACCTTTAGAATCAGGAAAACAAGGAATAAAGCAAACAGAACAACAACAGCAAAAAGAAAAAAGAAAATCACAACAGGAAAGACAGGGACAACAACAACAACAACCTTGGCAGTAATGTCACTGTCAAATACAGTTAACACAAATGATTACAAAACCATGGACTCGCTAACCTGGGTAAACTTGAGCATGTAAATGCAATAATATATACAATTATGGATATTAGTTAGTATTAGACAGTCACAAAATGCCAAACAGTTAGTTGTAGATATTAAGTGACAACAAGATTATATACACAGATTCACTGTTCTAAGGTAAACGAATTAGAATAAATTCCACAAGTTCCAGGCGAGAAACAACACAGAAATGAGAGTTCTATGTAGCTAAGCAAATGTGTCCGGTGATGAAACCAGGTGAAATTCTGTTTTAGTCCATCATTCCTATTCAGACAATTTCGATTCCATTTGATATGAAGTGCATCTGATGATGTGAGACGCTCTTTGTGATTTCTGAAATTTTTCTGGATTGTTTCAGTATTGTCTGAATCAATTTTGTGGCCTGATTCTATGGTGTGTAGACCACCAATGGCTGATGATTTTACAAGCTTTTCTAGTTCAACTGGATTTCTCGGTGGTCGAACAGATGCTCTAGAGTGTTCATTTCTTCTGATTTCGATTTCTCGTCATGTTTGTCCGATGTATATCACATCACATTCCAAGCGAGCATTTCATTTTGTAGACACAATTCGATTGAGAATCCTTAGGGATTTGGTCTTTCATATGGACAAGGTTGTTTTGTATTTTGTTTCTGATGTTTCGAAGAATACTCTGATGTCGTGCTTATTGAGTACTCAGCATTAAATAGCGAAACGTCAGTAAAAACAATATCGTTTTGTTTTTCATTCATTGGGAAATACAAAAACACATTTATTACAATGAATATCATATACACAATGCCCAAATTTTTTCAAACTGTTAAAAGTGAACTTGGTTTGGACATATATAAGGACGTAGATTCGTTCTAAGAGATGTGGAAAAATAATTTGTAATCGAACACTCGACTAGTGAAATCAGTGCTTTGAGTTATGTGCAAAATTTGGTACTATAATACACAAATATGATGTTAACAAATGTAGAAACCTCAAATTGTGAGGTGTCTGGCTGTATACCGTCAAACGTACTTTCACTTTTAGTCAATAATAAGAAGCTGCAAAGCTGTTTCACAGGTGATCTGTGTGGGGAAATAAACAGCGCGAGAAAGGGCATGTCAAAGATGAACAGATACGATGGACAGTGTCCAACAGAGAGCGAAGCATGAAGAAGAATTAAATATACAGCAAATGCAGATGAAGCATGATGAAGTTGATTACGCCAGACAAAATCGAATGTTTACGCAATAAGTGGCGAAGCCTAGAACAACGGGGACAATATTCGAAGATGACTGAAAAATGAGGACAATAAAAAGCGACGATCTGTGTAAAGAGGGAGAGAATGTGGAAGACGCGAAGATAGTAGCAGCAGCAGGAGGAGGAGGGGGACTTGGAATAAAGCGGCAAATAGGATAGATTCCAATGGAAATCAGTAAATATGCTTAAGGAGTAACAAAATTGAATAAGCCATACACCATACTACTTACTGATAACAAGTAGTACTAAGTTGAACGTAAATGGAAAAATGTGAAGCAATCAAACTGATTAGAGCAGACAATTACAATTATATGAGAAAGTGTACTGTGGTACAAGTACAAGATGTAAGAATACTCCGTCAACTTCGATTATCTTCTGAAAATGTGTATGGCCAATAAGAATGAATATGTGATATTATTATCATTATTATTCCCCTAGACTCTGAGTGGAACATACGGCTTCTTCAATAGCACATCTCCATTTCATCCTATTCTCCACAGTTCTCTTTGGCTAGCTTCATGATCAAATGACGATCAACTCTCATCTCCTCTCCCTCCACCTAACCCTTGCCCACACACACACACACATACACGTAATCCACATGGGAACGTCCAATGCCTCGTTTGACATTCGGGTTCAACTCGAAGGTGTGACGGTCGGCCGGCCTGCCTGCCTGCCTGCAGTGTGATGTCAATCAACAGTCTCCTCAGCTTGCCTGTCTCAGCCACCTGCATTTCAATCAGCATATTTATTTGGACAACGAGATGTTGATGAAAGAACGAAGGAAGATATTTGCAGGATAATACGAGCTCGTTTTATTCCCTAGATTCTCTTCAACTGCCTACATCCGAAACAAAATCAACTATAAGCTACAAAATTCCGACCATACCTTCCTCACAGTGACTTCGAGTTATAGATAGAAAGTATAAGCAAGATAATGGCAGAGATGATGTGAGCAGACGAATTATTCAATGTCAAAATGGTGACTATCTATAAAGCAATTAATGAACTGAGGGCTAGATTTCAGATTTCTCTTGGAAGCAAGGATGGACTAGAGACAAAATACAAGACAGAACAACACAATGAATTTATACATGTTCTGATGCAGAGTTCAGGAGGGTAGTAGTGTATAGTAAAGTGAAGTGAAATTTTAACATAGGCAAAATAATTTAGTCGATTTGGAAACTTAACATTTAGTTCAACTCAGTAAGTGAAAATCAAAATCAAATTTAAGTGGAATGTTATGCAACAGGACAAAACACAAAAGCATATTAACGAAACAACTGCAGTTACCAGGGTAGTGATAGATTTATTAGTCACCCTATCTGTCTGTATACACAGGTTGGGTGGAAATCTTTTGCTAGCAGTGGCTTCTGCGAACCGGAGTAACTGTGGTTTTATTTGTGTACTGATTATTTTGAAACCCTGACTAGTTTTCACTGTATGTCCTGCGTCAATCAGCTGTCTAGCATTC